CAAAAATATTATTGAAAGTTTTCATTAATGTTTTCCGTAACAAATACTTTTTCACAAAAAAGTTGATCTACTACATTTCTTTTAATTACATCTCTGTGCCTAARAAAGGCAGATTTCGATCAGGTGATCTCAGCTKTGAAAAATTCTTGGAAAACAGCTGATTCTTTTGTTACTTGTAGGCTTATACAATGGTCTCTACTTCTCCTCTACCGTGCTCAAAAACGCTACTGTCTACTTTACTTTTCCTTCCTTATAGAGCATATGTGTCAACAGTCACACTCGTGGCAAAAACGCAGAAATCAGCCCTTTTTGTTTGTTTTCATTTGAACAATGCTGCCATTGCACAATACGCATATATAGTTTTGTACACATCTATGTTTTCAATTACAATTTTTTCTAATATAAAATATCAGAACTGCAAACAAACTATTGCAAATAGTATATATATTTTTCTGCTTTTATTTTATTTTAAAAAATTTCAATTTTGAAGACAACTTTTATAATTACTAGAGTATATCGAGATTGGCAACCCTGCGTTGTGAGAGCGCAATCAGCTGACACGTTTCTACGGCAAAAATCCAAATGCCGTGAATTCTCACGTCATCCTACGTCAAAGAGAGAAGGGAGCAGCGTTTTTCACTGTTCATTTACATTGCGCGCCCATAAGATAGGTCGTATCAGTTGACACAGGCCACGATTCTACGTTGCCACTGTTTCTGCTATTATTGATTTCATTACGGCTCATCTCAACAGGATAAAATCTATGTCTTACTAATTGTATTGCCTATTGCTTACAATGTATGGAATACTAATTAGTTTGCCAAATATTGTAAGAAATAAGCTGTCACTTCAGCAGTTTGACAGTACAGTTTTCATTTCTCTGAAGTTTTCGAAAAGGCAATATATGCCATTTGCACTTACAAATGACGACGTCATTTTCATTTCAGTAATATGAAATTTAGAAAAGCGAGTATTAACCGGTAGTGTTATACTATAAAAATAAAGTACATTTTAAAAATAACATTTTTAAAAAAAATTAGTATTTAGTTTAATATTGTTAATTTACAGAAAAGTTATGCAAATTGGGTTGGGAATGAGCGAAGTCTTAAATTTAATAAACTTATACAAGCATTCACCAAAATATCATTGCTCATTTTAAATTTATTTTTTTAATTGGTATACAAAATTTATGCCGCATTTATTTTATAGTAGTCCAAATATATGTCTTCTTATTTTTCTCAAAAAT